TATTTCTTTCAACTTCTTTCTGTCCAGCTGGAATTGCCATTTTTTGTATTTCATCTAAAAATCTGTAATTCTTTGTTGATTTTTCGTTCCTCCTGTGGAAAATATGTAATTTTTAATTTTTCTTTAAATCTGCTTTTTTCCTGTGCTACATTGTTTAGTATGGCGAAGCCCCTACGTTTATTTGAGCAGTTTGTGTAGTTTTAAGTTCACCCCAAAAAGTATTGACTGTCCTGTAGTGAGAGCTTCCAGAATGTTAGCTCAAGTTAGGCATCTAGATTTCATCGAAATTCTGCAGGTTCTCTTTTCAGGTGATCGATTTTCACGAGCAGAAAGAAGTGAATGGTATCAAATTTTGGTGCCATGTGGCGGGTCATGTTTTGGGTGCATGCATGTTCATGATCGAGATCGCTGGCATCCGAATCCTCTACACCGGTGATTTCTCGAGAATCGAAGATCGGCATTTGTGTGCGGCTGAGTTGCCATCGGTTTCGCCGGATGTGTTGATCTGTGAGTCGACATATGGCACGCAGATCCATGAAAGTCGCGAAGAACGGGAAAAAAGGTATTTTGCATTATTTACTTTTTCTACAAGCAGTAAAATTATGCGTTTCTCCATATTAAATCTACGAAATCCTGAAGTTTTCAAAATTTGTGTTAAGCACGAGTTACAACTGCGACGGATTCTCGTCGAGCTTGAAAAGCGCCGCAAGCCTGCAGTCATCTTTAGACTTCCGATTTCCGACTCGTTATTTCAATTGCTTTTTTAGACTAGCAACTTGTACATAGCTGTCCTTGCCAATATCAATTGTACACAGTTATTCTTGCAAAGCCGGCAGGCATGGCACAGTGGCTTGGCACTATTGTTGTGCTGTAGGCGAAGATTCGACTTTACCGGTGGGCAAAACCAATCCCTCTACGATTCGTTCCAGTGGTAAATTGGTTTAGACTTTTTTGTGACAAAAAAAATTAAATTTTTTTAGACTTTTTGTGACAAAAAAATAAATTAAATTCTGTTAACCAAAATAGACAAAGGAAAAAAACAAAAATCAAAAACGAAAATCAAACATGAACAACAAAAACACCAAAGAAATGGACAACAAAAAGCAAAAAGCAAAAAAAAAATTGGGACAATCAAACTTTTGATTTATACTGGAGCTATAATTCCAGATGCAGCAAGTTAGAATCTCAAAATTTATATTTGCGGACTCATTTTTAAGTCGCGGAATAGAGGATCCGGGTTCCCGTCTTTCCTCAGAGATTGCAATTACCTCCAGTTTCTTGTTCAGTTATGCTGAAACAAATTTGCCCATACACCAGTACCGGTTTACTGAGGATTAGAGAGCTTTTTTGAATCCTGAAGACGATTTGATGCAGTACTTCAAAAAACATCTAGTAGTTTCAATAAAATTTCTTTAAAAAGCAAAAATTTCAAAAATTCAAACAAGGGATGCGGATGGAATATTTTTTTTGTTCAGACAGCTTGCTTTGCTGTGGGTTTTGAGACTGGTTTTGCAGTTCGATTGCATTTAACAAAAAATTCTTACTTTAAAAAGTAGTTCGAGCACTTTTTCATACTAAGCATTTGAATCGTGGTATACTTCGTTGTTGGATCATTTCGTTGCACCGGAATGCCGTTGGCATGACTAGAACTGGTGGCCTGGTCTCCTTAGTGTCGCTGAACTGCCGGTATTCTCAAGTGCCACCGTTTAATGTCATCCTGATTTGTTTCTCTGAGGCCCATCTGAACAGTCCTGTAGAGATTTTTCAGTTTGTAATTGTAGAACAGCACTGTCAGCCAATTTCAAAACAGTCCTGGGTATTTTTTTCTTTAAATAATATGGGGCTTTAATTTTGGATTCACAAGTACTGTTCACGAGATTGTTGGACGCGGTGGTCGTTGCCTGATACCAGCATTCGCACTTGGACGTGCACAGGAGTTGCTACTAATTTTGGACGAATATTGGGAAGCACATCCGGAATTACAAGATATTCCTGTCTATTGTAAGCGTATTTTCAGTTTATGTAACAGTGATGTTGGGCAATAAGCCGGTTATGTAACACGCCTTGCTGCGCATTCCTTGTTTTATTCAAATTTACTTCCGATTCGGAAATTTACTGTGCTGCTGCATTTAATTGAAATCTGCTCTTCCTACTTCAATTTATGACCTAAAATTGTTAGTAAAAGTAATAGAAAATTTGTTTCGAAAATTTCAAGCTTCGAAAATTTTATGCTTTTGAAGCTTCGAAAATTTCATTTGCAACTTGTTCCGGAATAACCGGGTTTTAGTCTGTCCACCCTTTTAGTCTGTTTTAGTCTGTCCACCCCTTAAGATACTTCCTTTTGTTCGTTTTTCCCCAAGCTATTTTTTTAGGTCCATCTTTTGAACAATTAAATAGAAGGGAGTGGGGTTTTGGACCATATGGAAGGGAAGAGGGCAGTAGAGAGGGAAATTTGCTAGAAAGAGGACAAGGAGCGGCAGGGACATTACTCACATATGCTGTTCCATCTTTCTAGACAGTGATAGCAAACGTATTCTGAACCGATCCGTTCGGCGTTTTTGCTTTCCATTTCTATGAGTTTTCGTCCCTGGAAAAGAGGTTCACTCATTTAGTTGGAAATGTTTAGTTGTTGAGCGCTTGCGTAGAATCATATCGCGAAATTAAAAATGCATCTGCCATTTTGGCATAGAATTTCGAGGTCTAAGAAACAGGCTCTTTGCCCGAATTAAGTGGTGTTGAGTTGTAGGCTGGGCCCGTAGATGTTGCTGGCAATTTCAGCGAAGTCGGCGCAATTGCTTATCGTCTTTGTAAGCGCTTTGTGATCTCACTCTATGCGCAAATTATTTCACATGAAGATCCTGTACGATTGCAGATGCAAGTTCATTGGCGAAGAAATGTATGGCAGTGTATCAGACGTTTGTAAGTGGAATGAATTCCCGCATACAGAAGCAGATTGCGTTGAATAATCCATTCGTTTTCAAGCACGTTTCCAATTTGAAAGTATGCCATTCATCAGCTATTCAATCTTTTTATTATTTCCTCCATAATTTTTATTACTGCATAGCGTACTTATCATTATAACTTCGAAATCACCAAAAGGATAATCAGTCCTGTGTGATTTTTTGGTCCTTCGTGATGGTAAATGAGCAAGGACTCATGCTAGAAGCTGCTAAATGTCACAGATTTGCTTCAAAAAACTATCGAAAGAGGGAGCTTTTAACAGTGTTGCTAATGAATTGTTTCTGCTGGCGAAATTCTATCAGTCAGAACACTGCCAAATGCGCCCCC